GGTTTGAGTCCATTAGGCAATGAACTCATTCCACTAATTGTAATTAGCGTGAGGCCTTTAGCAGGTTATCCGGCTCCTCAAACTTCAGAGGGCTTTGATCTGCCTCCTCCTCCTCCTAATAACCGTGCCTCTTGCTAACTGGTTTAGTGCGTTTTTATGCAACAAAAGCAACCACCGCCTACTCTTCAGAAAAAAGCTAGGCTAGGCTTCAGAAAAAGAATTCTCAGTTGTTTTCACTTGTCCTGCAAATCGCAGAATGTTCTTTCCCTATTCAGCCCTTAGGAGTTGCTAAGAAACTGCCATTTTGGAGGAAGGGTAATTAAATCTTGATTTTAATTTAAAGACAGAGCAGGCAAGGTTATCCGTGCTCCTTAAACGAATGGGTGCCTGAGAGCAGGAGACTGGCTGTTCCCAGATCGGTACTGGGAACTCGGTGCGCGACTCGAGTCTCTCTTGCTGTTTGGCTGCCAGGGAGAGTGGCTCTGACACGCTTCTCTGTGGCAAGCACCGCTTAACTTTTGGGGAGAAATACCCGGGAGACCAGTGTGTGCCAGGAAACCAGCGACTCTGGGCTTGATTAATTTATAGGTGTAATTTAAGAGCCCGGTTCTCCGGGATGCGTGTTTACTGAGCCTGTAGACATGAGGCCTCCCTGCCTGGTGGATGTTCTTTATGGCCTTTGCTGTGTGAGAGCAAGAGTTGTAGATCTCCTATGAGCAAACATATTACCGTGTCCAGAGGAGGACGGGCCTGTTATAAAATTTCAGTGGTCAATTAACGAAGATTTATTCTTTGTCACTCAGGTATTTTCTCTCTCTCTCTTTCTCTCTCTCAATAATTGCCTTTTGGAATGAGGCAGGCTGTGTTTTCCTCTTGCAGCCTTGAGTTGGGTTATGGCTCCCAGCTACAGAGCAGGGCTCGAGAGCGCCCATCTCAGTGTTTACACTCTCAGCAGCTGGGCTTGCTGCTTTAGCGGCGTGGACACTTGAAGGAAGGGGTGAGACAGAGAGAGGGGTGGGGGAGAGAGAACGGAGGAGGGAATGCCGTTTTTAAAGCACTTCAGCCTGTGTTTACTACGCGTTTATTTGGTGGAACCTCATTCCAGCAGTGCAGCCAACTGTCCCATCGGCAGCAGCCGCACCCTTTGGACTGCTTTCCAGTCTGCCTTCTCTTGGAATTCACACAGGGACCTTTGAATTGCTATTTTAAAGTTTCTCATCCCGTTCCAGGTCCATGCACCGTACCTTTGCAACCTGCTGAACTCAGAAAAAAATATACACGTTGCAGTAAAGAAACAGAGGCGAGCTGCGCGTCAGCCTGTTTTCCGTGTATTTATTTCACTAGTCCCCTGCCTGCTCCCCACCCCCTGAAAAAGAAAGATCTGTTTTATATACATAATATCTGAGAGTTAGACATGTATAAGATAACCTTGCCTAAAATTGTAAATCCTTCCTGGTGGAGAAGATGTGATTTTTGGTATCACCTGGAAGAAGAGGAGAGCCGGCCCTGGGCTTCAGTCCACACCCAGAAATATAATTCACCGGCTAACTCTCTCTGTATCAGCTCGCTGCAAAAAGCTGCCAACCTGAGGGGTTTGGCCTGCCCAGGGCTCTGGGGTTCCCACTGCCTCTGCCGCCTTCCCAAGTGGAGGGGCCCCATGCTGCCCAGCCTGCGTCCTCATCAGCCGTCTGCACTCTGCCGTCACCTCACTTTTTCAGAAGTTAGAACAGGAGTCCAGGGGCTGTCATCCACTTCCTGATCACCGTTCTTAAGATTCCGGCGGACTCCGGGGGGAAGCAGATCGCTGAAGGGCGGGAGAAGAGTGCGGGGCTCGGTGGGCGGATGCTGGCACCCAGGGACCTTTTCCAAGACGTTCAGGCCTCCTTCTCCGACTTGTTTAAGGGCAGAGAATAAGGTTGCAAAGGAAATCAAAGCCTGATGTGGAGAAACGAAACATGAGACCTACTGACTTTTAAAAAACATTTTAAATAACATTCTCTAAGGTTTCATTTTATACTGAAGGCAGCTGTAATAAGTTTTGGAAGACAGTGTAAGGTTTCTATTACAGAGTGATCCTGCTTGCAGTTTTTGTACCAGAAGTGAGAAAAGGGCCGAGGGGGAGAGGGGGTGGTTTAAGAGGTTATTTTGTATAAGGTGAGAAAATTTGAAAAGATGAATTCAAGACTGTAAGCGTGTAGCATTTGGAATGCCGTAATTTGCAAATGTAATAACATTAAACCATTGCGAAGGTTGGTTTTGTGTGTGTGTGTGTGTGTGTGTGAGAAAATGGTCCAGATAGCAATGGAATAACTTAAAATAGTCCAGATAGCAATGGAATAACTTAATAACTGGAGCTCAACAGCACTTTGACCACAAGTAAAACAAGACTGCAGCTCTGTAGTGGGCTTTGCCAGTGTTGCCCAGCGACTACATTCCCCGTGGAAGGCTGGCTCGGGCCGGAGATGTCGGGCTGTATGAAAGCACTCATTGTTCACGGGGCATCATTATTTGGTATTACATGCACAATGTTTGCTTGTGAAACGATTTATTAGAAACAAGTATGTTTAAGAGAGAGGACTTGGTTTGAAATTCAGTTGATCTGGCCTATGACATTTAAGCCTGTGGAGTACTTTGGTTTCTAAGAATAGATATGTAGGCCCACTGTAAGTGTTTATCTTAAAACACGCACACACACACACCTACACATACATACATACATGCATACGTGCACCCGAGAGCGCAAAACTAGAAAACTAAGCCAGGGAATGAATTGGTAGGTAAAGTTGGCTTTTCTGATGGGAAAGGAGTAAGTCTTCTTAAGATTGGCCAGGTACAAAGGAGCATGATTTGTGAACTTGGCTGGCAGTACCCAGCCCAGAGGACAGCTTCACCTCATGCTGAGAAGTCTCTTGGTAGGAGGCCTGGTGAGGAGTGGGGAGAAGAAGAGAGAGTGTGTGGCTTTAACTCCATCCTTCCCACGTGCATGAGCTAGTGGGGATGAAACCAGACCTCGGTCACTGCCAGCTGCTGGCAGGAGGTCCCTGTGGTCCTTGCTGTGGCCCATCCCTGGGCTGGCGTTTCAGCCAAAGAACAAGGGTTTCATGTGATGTTTGGAGGGACCCAGCTTTGAGATTTTCTGCCCACAAACACTAGATGTCTTGACTTCTGGTCCTTTGCTCAGCCTACATGGGTGACATTGGGGCAAATGAATGACTTCTTCGGGTCTCTGAAATCCTTATCTTTTAATGTGAAAATGTCGGTGTCCGTGAAGTGGTGGGAGATTCTGGAATGAAAATGTGCTAGGGATAACCCCCAGAACTTTTTTCTTCGTTTTCCCAAAGTTTTTTAAAGGCCAGCAAGTTGCTTATGCAGTAAAATCAATTTACACGTGGTCTGGCTCTCGTCCAACAAATTCCACTCAATGATATTTTCATCTGAAAGGCCCAAATACAGGAAGGCGAAGGTAGCTATTGTTCTGACTTGCTGTTTCCAGCCCAGCACGCAGGGTCTCTCAGGTGCAGTGTGGAGGCATCCCTGGTGTGTGGAGCTGCTGGGATCTCCGTGTTTCCCTTGGCTGTTTTTTAAGCTGGAGGCTAAAGTCAGGGTCACCCACAGCTGGGGCAGGAAGACAGGGAGGAGGCTGGTAGGCGCAGGCCTGTGGGATGGAGTTGTATTTGTGAATGGACCCATGCTTGGGTTTTGTGTGGCTCTGGACCGAGCTGCCATGTAGGAAGCTTCCCGTAAGTTTGTAATCATAGTGCTTTTATAGGGACATGATCATGCAGCAGTCTGGTCCGTTACTTAATTCTTTTAATTTAATTCATTTTATTTTATTGTTGTAAGAACACTAAACATGAGACTAAACACTAAACGCATTCCATCTTAACACATTTTTAAGTGTATAACACGTTCTTGCTGACTGTAGGCCCAGTGTGGGACATCAGATTTCTAGAACTTACTCATCTTCCACGACTGAACCTTTATGCCCGGGATTAGCAAACCTCCATATCCTTCTCTGCCCCAGCCCACATTCCACTCTTTGATTCTATGAATGTGGCTAATTTAGACACCTCATATAAATGGAATCATGCGGTATTTGTCTTTCTATAACTGTCCTATTTTACTTAGCCTTCCACATTGTTACACGTTGCAAGACTTCCTTCTTTTTAAAAGGTGAACGGTATTCCATTGTGTCTGTAGATCACATTTTTAATTTATCAATTCGTCTGTCAATGGACATTTAGGTTGTTTCCGTGTCTTGGCTATTGTGAATAGTGTGGTAATGAACATGCTACGGGATGTGAACTTGTGCATCTAGTAAATACCTGGTGTAGAGTAACACTTGATATTCATCAAAGAAATGAATGGGTGAATAAAGAATAAAGAATGAATGGAGAAAACTTCCATAATAAAGAGATGAGCCCATTGTTAGTGTGGTCTGGTCACAACTTTGGGCTTCAGCTTTTAATTTAATTTTGTGAACAAGGGATGGATGTCTTCACAGAGCATCCTAGAAATGTATCGGGAGACACTGTGCCTGTAGGGGCCATTTTTGGCATTTAAAGTGACCTTAAAGTTAGTCTTGTCACTTGACCATGATGTTAAGCTTATGATCGAGGTGGGTCTTTGAGATTATCCCAAATGAAATCAGTGAAGAGGCTCCTCTTCCCCTGACACTTGTCTTTTAGAATGTCAGAATGAAATCTTTCCCCTTACTCATAGGTGGCCAAGGACAGAAAATATTAATAACTTGAATATAATAAGCTCTTTTCCCCGATTTTCCAAAATAAGTATTCTTTTCACAAGACTCATGCTCCAGCGGTGTCCTTTGAAGTCGTTTTTGTTCTGCATGGGGCCGCGGTGTTATTCCAAGGGAGTCAGCCAGCAGACTTGAGGCCCTTCTGGCTGGAGTTCACGGACAGCCTTCTGGACAACACGACTTATTTATTGGCCTCTCCTTCTCCCATCCCTGCCCCTCCTTCCTTCCCTCTCTCCGTCAGAGCGGTCGCCACACCGGCCCATCCTCCAAGCCGGACTGCCGGCCAACGCCTCCACGGTGGTCGGAGGTGACGTGGAGTTCGTCTGCAAAGTTTACAGCGATGCCCAGCCCCACATCCAGTGGATCAAGCACGTGGAAAAGAACGGCAGTAAATACGGGCCCGACGGGCTGCCCTACCTCAAGGTTCTCAAGGTGAGGACTTTCTGAATCTGAACGTGCCCACAACTGGGGTCTCCTTAGTGGGTTTGGCCACAGGTTCTTTTGTTTCCTGTTGCATTTGAGAGAAGAGGATTCTCTCTCTCTCTCTTTTTTTTGACTGGCCAGTAGAGAGCATGTTAAGGAATTAGCAGATGATTAGGCTTGCTAGTAACATTTCAGAAGGGAGCCCTGGAGTAGGGAAGAACTACTAAACTTGGAAATGGAATAGTGCAGCTTTGTATCAGCCCTGAGATCTTAGACACTGAGGCTTAGCTGCACGTCTATAAAAGTGGGGATCACGATATTATCTCCCCTACAGGGTGGTTGTACAGAACAAACGGGTTGGAGCAGATGGGAAGAGCTTCATAAGCTCAAGACATTGTACCAATGATTCTTGTCTCTCTGATATTATTTTCTAGTAATATGATGGGATCCAATTTTTGTAGCCCCTTTTTAGAAACAATTTATGTTTTCTTTTTCAAAAAATCCCTTGACCTTTGAAATCCATTGACACGGGATTTCCACAGTAAGCTTTAGGAAATGTTTCTGCACCAGGGATGTGCTGAACGAGGAAAATATCTTTCCTCTTGTATATTTTGTTTGGTGTTTTTGCAGGCTCCCATTGTCATAGCATCAGCCTCTTTATTTTTTAGATCTAGTTTGATCTTCGGGAGGGTGACAGCAAATGGCAGCCAAGTCTGCACAGCTAGTTCATAGCTCCCTGCCTGTTAATGTCTCCCAAATTTAGTTGCTCGTGGAGAACATCCTTAAAAGGAACATTTTTTTCCCCCAAAAGACCCATAAGTGGTTCAACTAATGAAGTGTTCTCGCCAGTTGACAGTACCAAGAACCAAAAAAGTTGGGGAAAGATGACCACCCCGGGCAACTGCCGACCCATTTCCCCTGGCCATGGGACACCTTGGTCACTTTCACCTGTCCCTGCCAGGCCTTTCCCTTGTCCACCACTTGACTTGTTTTATTTTTTCAAGGGCCACAGCCCTTTAATGTCACTGTTTAGGTATAATGGAGGTTGTTTTCTTGCGGTGTGTTGGTGGTGGGACCGTAGACAGCGCTAAGTCCTTCCCGGTTGGCCGTTATATTGTTCTCCTGTGTCTGTTCTAGCACTCGGGGATAAATAGTTCCAATGCAGAAGTGCTGGCTCTGTTCAATGTGACTGAGGCGGACGCTGGGGAGTATATATGTAAGGTCTCCAATTATATAGGGCAGGCCAACCAGTCTGCCTGGCTCACTGTGCTGCCCAAACAGCAAGGTAACAACGTTTTTGTTTTTGTCTTTTTTTTAAAAAAAGAAAAGCTGGATATAGAAGGCTGAAAAAACTCGGTGCTTTGGGAGACTGCAGGCAGCTTATAGGCTAACTCTTGTGGCCTTGGTATATTTATGATAATCTTTCTTTGGTGATGCAGCTGGTATAATGCCAGCAGCCATGGAAAAATGCCCACGATGTTCAAAGTGCTTGCTCTAATTTCTTCTAAGGATTACCCTCCACCCCCACCCAGTTTTCAAGTTGTTCCTTCTGGTTTGTCTTGTTTGGGCTGCACTTTTCCCATCATTACTGTACGTTAGCATCATTTTAAACACACACCTACATGCCTATTAAATTTGCAGCATTTGAATATTGGTAGAATTCATATCTCCTTCTACCCCAGGATTTTAGAGACATACTGGCATGATCTGATTTGTCCAACAAAGCATCATTTCTTTGGTTGCATATCTGATCCTGAGGAGATGCTGTCCTTGACCTTGCTCCCCCAAATTTAAGGGGAGTGCATCTTCCCGAATGAATGTTCAACTGGATGCCATCAAAGGCATAAAGTTGACTTTGCCCATCTGACTCACATGCAAATGTTTATATCAAAAAAGAAGAAAAAGCCCAACTTTTTTGTTGCCAAGATCACACTTTCTTCCATTTTTTTTCCAATGCCATGTAAGGCAAGATGGTTTTGCAAAAGTAAAAATAGCCAGAGCTGGTCACCAAGACAATCTTCCACCTTGGTTGGCTTCCAACGGGCCAGGAGGCCATGGGAAGTGTCCACCTGGGCTTCCCGGCAGCATTCTGTTTCCCAACACAGCAGTTTAGAGAGATCCATCCATTGCCCGAGGCAGGAGCTTGCAGCCAACAGGCCCAGACCTCAGCTTGGCCTTTCCCCCCAGTCCCCCAAACGAAAGCACAGGCCAAGAGAATAGGCCTCTGTGGGTTGATTTTTCCATGCGTTTGATCGCGTGCATGTCTAGGTGGTGACGCCGGTGTGGTGACGGGCCTGTGGAGGTGAGCTGGTCAGTGTCGCTCAATGTCTCTTGGTTGTGGGCTTTGTGGACGGGCTGCAGTCGGAATCTCCCGGTGGCCAGCACCCCCTGGAGCCCCCCGGGGCGACGCCTCGTGGTTCCGTGGCCCCTTCCACAATCATTCCTGTGTCGTCTAGCCTGTTCTCTCGCTTCCCTTGTTTTCTAGGCCGCCGGTGTTAACACCACGGACAAAGAGATTGAGGTTCTCTATATTCGGAATGTAACTTTTGAGGATGCGGGGGAGTATACGTGCTTGGCGGGTAATTCTATTGGGATATCCTTTCACTCTGCATGGTTGACAGTTCTGCCAGGTACATACTGCTCTTTCCTTCTGGGTTTTTTTCCCTTTCCTTGGTTGATTGCTATAAAATTAACACAGCTTCTGTTAGCAGAAATGGCCCCTTTTATCCTTGCATAAAGATAAAAAAAAATGTTAAAAATTATCCCCCAGGGATAAGAAAATTGCCTTGGAAATTCACTTACGACGAGATCCCACACTCACATTTATGATCAAGTACAATTTCGCCCTTAAAACCTTAAAGGGATCTTATGTTTCCAGTGAGTCATTGAGCCAGTGTATAAATGAGCCCATCTTCCTTTCTCTTGAGGAAGAAGTAGAAATTACTTTGTGAAATTCAAAGTAATTTTTTTTTCTCATTTCAAATTCCATTTTGCAAAAATCCCATATGTTTTTATTACCTTCCATCCCACTTTGTATTTTTAATGAGATGGGAGCAGAGGGGTGTCTGTCGAGGTGCCCGGGAGGAAGTTCCTCTGAACGTCAGGTGCACAGAAGCAGTGTGTTACCTCCCTCGGGGAGCGGTGGCTTGTTGCATGTTGCGATAGAATGGACTCTTGTTTGCTTTTATTGCAAAGCATGCTCTTGCCATCTTGGGCTTGATGTTATTTCTGCCTTCCGGAGAAATAGACATCAGTGAAGCCCCGTTGCCTAAACATTGCCGCTGTCTGAATATTTAACTGACGTCTCTATTCTAGTGAAACTGTCTTGTTAAATGCTGTTCTTTCTGGTGCACCTGCCTCTCTGCCATTGCCTTTGTGAAACTGCGTAGACTGTGGTCTGCTAGCCTATGATGTTCCACTCCAGTTATTAATTCCTTATTTTTAAGCGTACAGTGCCTACCTGCATGCTTATTTTGTATCTAGTAAAAATAAATTGATCGTTTCATTTTGTGCTGTTGCTGCTGAGAGTTTTGACTGTCTTGCAAGTGTTTTTTCTGAATAGAATGTATAAGCTTTAAATAATACCATTGCATCCATTTTTCCTTTTGTTGTGAGTCTGCTCTGTGAAACATTTGCTTTGAAACAATGAGATGCCTCTTATGTGGCGCTTGCTTTGACTTGCAGTACTGCATTCTGTGAGTGCCTCGTTGGCACTTCTTAACTGGTTTGCCTGACAGTACTAGCACATTAACTAAGAACGCAGTCTGAAAAAAATACCGTTTGGAAATACACTGCTTGTAGATTGATCGTTGAGGACTAAGGAGAGGACAGACATTGGAAGTTGATATAAGAATGTGCTAAATTACGTAATTATATGTAGATGCACATGCAGTACCATTTATATTTTTTCTTTAAGAAAGTTGTAGTTATGTATCAGTATAACCAGATACACAAAAACTGAAATGATTATTAAGGAATATTATGAACTTTATACATTATAGACCTAATGATTTTATACTATAACCAATTCAGTCTTACGTATTTAATGCATTGATTTGTTTAATTGAATAACATGCTGGACTGTATTAAAGAACTCACTGAAACTTTTTCAGACCAGCTTTCTAGGTGAATATTTATGTCGCGTGGAATTGTATGCATCTGGGGTAAATCGTATCTAGTCTTCCTTTAGAAGAGCCTGCCCACGTAAGACTGAAGCATTTTCACTGTCTCCTTAGAAACAAAAGTGGGCATTGTGGATATTTAAGAATTTCTCACTTGGTCTGTGTTCAGGGACCATCCTGTAAGCTGGTTGTCCTCCCTGCCCGAACATCTAATACGAGGTGGCCTTGTGGCCTGCCCTTTGTAACTTGGTGGCAGCTGTTCACCAGACTGCAGGTGCCCACTAGGCTAGAGACAGTGATCACCTGGGCCCTCGTGGTAAAATGAGGAGCCCTTGGTGAGTCATTTTCACTTGGGAGAAGCCCAGGAAAGAGGCCCCCAGAGGCCATGGCCCATGCCACTCTGCAGCGTTGAGTTTGTGGGACGCCCGGACGCCCACCTTGCCTTGGGAAGGGTCGTGGCCTTTTGGTTCCTTCAATTGTGCTGTGATGCGTCAATGCGGTGCACTAACGATGTGGCCTGCTTATCTCTTCCTCCCCCGTGACTGCAATCCAGCTCCCGTAAGAGAAAAGGAGATCACAGCTTCCCCAGACTACCTGGAGATAGCCATTTACTGCATAGGGGTCTTCTTGATCGCCTGTATGGTGGTCACAGTCATCCTGTGCCGAATGAAGACCACGGCGAAGAAGCCGGACTTCAGCAGCCAGCCAGCTGTGCACAAGCTGACCAAGCGCATCCCGCTGCGGAGACAGGTAACAGAAAGTAGATAAAGAGTTTAAAGACCTTTACTCCTGTCCCACGACCCAGCCAGCTCTTGGATCTCCTCCTCTGCTTTGATGCCATCTAATTCCGTGACCTTCAACGTGTGGGTGGGTCCAGTCATGCCGCATGGTGGCCGCCCAATTAGTGTTTTGAGCTTGGAGAGCCTCATCGTGGTGCATGGCTGGGATGAGCGGGGTCTGGTTTGAAGGGCAAGAATGGACAATAATATAAGAATCAGAGCACTAGTCGGCAGGACTGAAAATCACTCTGGGGGCAATTTCCTCTGTGCATTTGGCACAACTCGAGTATAGTGGCCTCTTTGAAGTATAGGCCACGCATGTCTCCTGTGATTTAATACCTTCTTTGAGATAGGCATGAATTATTCTCATGGGGCTTATGCCACTAGTAGGAAAGAGACTCTAGTTCTCTTTGGCTTATTTTTAAAGTTAAGATCAGAAACCTTTGTACAGGGGTGCATCTGACCTACTGCTTGATTTAAACTGGTGCACGATGTCTTTTTACACTGAATTTTGGCTTAACCCGTCTGCTTAAAATAGAATCATATGCACATATTATGTTGTTAGTAGTTCATGCGTGTGGCTACCGATTCAGTGGTAGAATGATTTTTTTATGGAACCAGCAACAGATTGTTTTTAAACTTGAGCTTGGTCTTTGGTGGATACTTTTTGCTTGTGTATGCCTCCTGATTGGTTTGGGAAATGGGGCAAGATAGAGCCTCCACCTCTGCCATAAACCAAAGCCCTGCAAAGGTGGGCAGGGCAGGAAATGCTTTGACTCTTTCCTGCTTGTTCACAAAGAGGTAAGAGAAAGACAGATGAGAATGCAAAGTGGTTATAAGAACATTTGGAACTTGGTGCCAATAAAGGCCTTCTTTTTGAAATAGCAAGTAAAATGGCTAACTCCCTGGCTCTATTTCAGTGTGTATTGTAGTAGAACTTATGAGACACTTGTTAAAATATAAGATTCCTTAGTCTCATCTCATCCTTAAAATCTAAGATTCCTTAGTCTCATCCTTGAACGGGGCCAGGAATCTGCATTTTAAACAAGTCCCCAGGTGATCCTAAAATGCACTTTGAGTAACTCTGGGTTAATCCCAGCCCTGCCTCTCCTGGGACTTCAGGTAGCAATGTCACCTTCTGGACAAAGTATTAGGAAGGATTAGGAACCAGTTGGTCAGCAGCAGGCTTGGCACAGTTCTGGCTGTTCTCAACCCAGCTCCAAACTCCTGGCTGAATGGGTCCTTGTTAACTTCTTTGAAGCCGTGTTTCAAGCAGGTCTTTCTTCGTGGAGGCTGAGGATAGAATTTGGAATGCGTGTCAAGTATAGGCAAATGATTAAATTGTGCTAAGAGCAAGGAAAGAAAGGGGCTGCTTGGGTCACTTCTGCCACCAAGAAAGCTGTTGTTACTTTGAGTGACACCACTGTCATTCTTGGAGCCAGGGAAGCAGTGATGGGGCCAGTTGCCTGACCAGTTTCTGGGAGAGTCCAGTCCTGAGATAACGCGTACCTGGCCAGGTGGTGCTGTGGCCTTCAGGTGGAGTAGGCACTCCAGCCTTCCCCTCCCTCCTTACCAGTCACCCCTGGGACATCCTTAGGGCCACCATCTCGAGAATCCGACTTGGGGAGCTGACAAAAGGGAGTGGTGTTCCCATGTCTATTAGTTTTTTTCTAACAGGGAAAAATGCTACCTTGGGGCATAAACTCGTAATTTGGTGTAGCTAGGCCACTGTCCCTTAATTATTTCATCATATTTTTCTGCAACTGTTACAATGCTCTTCTTTTTACTTAATATAAGAGGCAGATGCCCTTAAAGTCTCCTTAACTCAGCCATAGTCATTGTGTTTTCCTTTCTCTCTTTCCTTTCTCAACTGGTTTTTCCTCCTCATCCTTCTCCACCAAAGTTGGTCATTTTTCTCAGCCTCCCTGTGTAAGCAGAGGGAGCAGTGGGGTTCCTTCCTCTTTTTCTTCCCTATTTCATTTGATTCATCGTGATTTGCTAAGTGTTTGGGCTAACCCACGTTCCATGTGAGACTCTGCATGTCATGTTAGCTAGTGGCTCCACGGTTCTTTGGGGGCCTTTATTTGAAATGTCATGGCCTTGTGTTCAGTAGGGTCAAGGCGTATAAGAGAAGCTGATACCAGTCCCCATAGAAAAATAAAAGCTCTGGGAGATTAATTTCGCTGGGGGGAGATTGACACACCCCAGCTCTTTGTGTGGGTGCGGAATGGGGCTCCTGTGGGGTCTTCACAGCGTGGCGTCAACAAGCACAGTCCCTTCGGTGGAGAAGGAGATGCCTGCTGGGTGTCTGGATAAAAGAGGGTTAAAAGCCCCAGAAGGGCCCGCAGATCTGTTGATGACAGAGCAGATACCACAGGGATGCCACACGTGCCTTTACCTGGAGACAGGTGAGCCTGTAATCAGATGTGTGGAGGATGGGTTGTTTCTGGGCATTTAGGAGCCCACTCTTCTGTGCTCTGTGTTGGCCCCGCCTCCCCTGCGACACAGGTAGCGTTCGGTGTCCTCCTGGCCTGACCCTCGCCCCTCCCCCCGCACCCCCCATCTCACTCGACTCTCTCAATCCCTCATTGTTCTCTTTTTAGAACAAGACAAGTTTGTTTTTTGCTCCTCTGATGAGTTTTTCCTTCTTGACATTTATTAATTTGCACTGGACTTAACTGGGGTGAGACAGACATTTCAGTTTGTTTTTCTTTTGAGCAAAAATATTTTTTTCCAGTACCAACGAAGACATTTTCTTGCAGTCATCTTTTTGTAGCTGTGAATCTTTTGAGACTTTTTATGCGCTTCACTTGGAGAAGGAGAAGCATCTTTTGGGTGACGGGGGGGAGTGGTGTTACGTGGCATCTCCCTGTTTCCTTTGACAGGGGCTCAGCCCACGTTTGGCGTCAGGGCTCGGACATCGTGCGGGGCACTTGGACACCTGTTCCCGCTCCTTTGGTGCTCAGCATTTTACATGAGACCAGCAGCGGCCGACCCAGGGGGCACCTGTGTGAGCGTGTTGGTTCTTGCACGGGGTGCTGGGCAGCCAGTGGCTGTTGCGAAGCAGTCTTTGCACACCTATGAGTTAAGGGGAGGGGGCAGCACTTTCCGTGTTTTCTTTCCACACATCATTGGGTGGTGGGGGTGGGGGGCACAGGAAGGGGGTGCAGGGGGGACGGAGGATGCTCATTCCGGAGACACACGGCATTGCTGGGCTTGTTGAATAGGGTTTTCAGTGAGCACATCAGGTTCTGTCTCGGGCCCTGAAGCTTCCATGAGGCACGATGGAGATGGAACCGTCTTACGGTTGGCTACGGCCGATGAGTTCGTCTCCCTGCAGCTCGCGCCCTCTCCCTCTGCCAGCAGCGGCTCAGGGCTGCAGGGTGTTTTTTCTCAGACTCCCAGCTGCGGGTACAGGTAAACGGCAAACCAGATAAAAGTCAAGGGCACTCAAGGTCATCTTTGGTAACAATACCTTCGAGGCAAATGGCATGTTCCTGGGGATCTTTAAGGAGGAAGATGAAGGGGGAGGAAGGAACCTGTGTGCCAGGAGCCAGGTCTCCACCGAGCATTAATGATCCTTAAACACTCCGAATTCCGTGCAGGGGTCTTCTGCTTCTGGAAACTCGTTTCCCACCTGGCAGCTGAGCATCATGATCCTGGAATTTTCTCTGTCCTTGCTCAGTCAGGTGGTCTGACAAAGCCTCCGTGGTTCCAGAAAACGTTTGGGTGATCAGAGTGGTCACGGACGGCTGCCCTGGAATCTGCCCTTTCACGTGGCTCCCCAGCCTCCCCCGCCCCGCACGCTCTTCTCCTTTTTCTGCTCTCCCCCGCCGGCAGGCACGGCAGTTTGACTGAGCTGACCTGGATTCTGGCTGATGTGATCTTCCAGGTAGAACCAGCCGGTCGGGACTGGCGTGTCATTGCTCTGATGGGTTTACTCCCAGAATCCGGGGCAGGGGCTTGGGGGAGGTGGAGACTTGTTCAGACCCATGATCTTGAGCAGCTCTAAGAGGAGATTGATTATGGGGGGGGGGTCTCCAGTACAGATACAGGTATAAGTAAAAAGGCAAGAGAAAAGTGAGTGTCTAATAAACTGCCTCACTTGTTATGGAGGAAAAAACACGGAGCCTTAGAAACCCCTTTAAGTGTTATCTTGGTCACCCAGCTTAAGGTGTTGAGAGCATTTCATTTGGCCATAGAGAGTGCTAGGCAAGGCTTATATCATAGCAGAAGAGTGTTAATACCTGGGCCTCGAGTTCTGGTTTGGGAAGGTGGTCACAGCCTGAGAGGCAGGGTTTGTTTGGTGGCCTGAGAACTAAGGGTGTTTGTCTGTCCTCAGGTGAAAACACGCAAGTATTGATCATCTCTCCCCCGTGGGGTCTCTGCTCTGTTCACAGCGAGATCCCTTCGAGTTGTCACATTTAATCCAGTGTAAAGAGATAGCACTATTTCTTGGTGGCCCTTTAAAAAGAAAAGAAAAAAAAAAACCCCACTTCCTCACTTAATCTCCCGTACTATGGAAATATACGAAAAGCACATTTACTTAAAAGCTTGATTTATGGCACATGGTAAAGAGATTCCAGAAAGTGAGGAAGCTGAATTGTAGATCGTAAAAAATACGTGCTTTAAAAAAAAAAAAAAAAAAAACGCCTGCCAAGATTTGGGAGTGGGAAAACAGTTTACCGGAGTGTTAGCATTGATCATAAGCAATGTACTTACTGAGAACAGTGGGATATTTTTGAATTATTAATTGACGTTTCTAGGTAGAAATCGAAGAATATCTGATAGGGAAGATTATGGTTTTGTGCAAAACAAAAAAGACAACAATCTCACAGCGCTGAAGAAGTAGAAGGATGTCAGAGGCGGGCAGCGAGCGTGACTGGAGGGTCTGATTCGGAGAAGGGAAGCTCCGGGGGAACGTGGTGTCCCCCCGGGGAGCTGCCTGCCGGGGTGGCGCCAGGCCCGTGCCACTGCTTCGAGTGCAGAGCAGAGGCTGGGAAGAGAAAGCCAGTCGTATTTAATGGTCCCAGAGGGGATTTTAAAAGCATAGTAAAAATGCATGGAGGTAAAATCAAGATATACATATACCTCAGTAGACAGAGCAATCAAATTCTTATACTTTGGGCATTTTCTTACCTCCCCACCCTCACCACACATAGTGTTTTTACAAAAGTATTTTCCAGATTTGTACATATAATCCGAATTGCTATGCTTCATCTGAACCGAATTCCCATAAGTAGTCCTTTTTTATAAACATGCTTTTAAAATTTTAATAATAATGAAAGCAGAGTTTGTACTGGTTTTCCGTTTTATTTATTTTTAGATTTTCTATTTTAAAATCTGTTACGTTGAACTCTTGTTGAGCACAGACGCTCCGTTTGGGGAAAGGTGTACACCCGTGTGAACCTTCGCCTCGGGTTTGTGGATGTAGATTCCTTTTGGGTCATAGGTTAGCTACAGAGCAGCTAACTGCAGACTGCATGTTAATCTTCCCTGTTCTGAAGCAGCCCCCAAGCCACATTTGTTGTTAGGACTTTCTTACCCTCCGACTTTCTTCCTGCCGAGACATTGTCCCCCCAGCTCCTGGATTCTTTATTTATACTGAGATCGGTGGTTGCTCTGGTCCGTTGTATAAAGTGGTGTAGTATTTGCATATCATTTACACATATCCTCCTGCATGCTTTAAGTCACCTCTGGCTTATAATTTCCTGATACACTGTAAATGCTATGTAAACCGTTGTGCCACTGGATTTATTTTTATTTGTATCATTGTTATTGTTGTATTGTTATTTTTTATTTTTAATATTTTTTATCTGCAGTCGGTCCAATCCGTGGATACAGAGCCCATACATACGGAGGGCCACCTGTATCTTATATACAGAACAACCCTGGGTTCCAAATGCTCCAAGTTATCCAGACAGAGGTGCCACTGTATGTTCTCTTGGATCTGGGTTGCAATTGATTCTAAAGATGCTCAGAAAAAATGTTGTGGTGTTGGTAGCAAATATTAACTGGGCTCAGCACTGAGCATTTTGTTGGGTTTTCCCCTCATTTCATCCTCGCATTAACTCTGTGCAGTTGGAGCTGTTCCTGTCTCTGTTTTAACAGATGAGGAAAACTGGGTTTAGGAAAGCTAAGTGGCATCCTGTGTTGAAACTGGACGTGGACCCCAAGAATCTCGCTACACAAGCCCCGTGTTGCTGTGGTTGGTTGGGGTGCAGCCCACCTGACGCAGGGTCCCCTGTCATGCACACTTAACAGGGAGGGCAGCGCCAGGGTTGGCTGTTTGGCTGTGCACGGTCAAGGAGGCACAACACTGTAGGACGCAGAGGAGCCACCAAACCCAGCCTGGTAGCAGAAGGAAGGGCCGAAACCAACGATCTTGTAATTTCTAACCTGTTTTAGAAGTCAGTATATTTCAAGCAGATGCCCTTCGTTTTCTTTTCCCCTTGTTCATGCCTCAGTTCAGATCCTTATTATTCTAAAAAATATTTTTGTTAAAGAAAGTACTACTTCTGAAACATAAAAGGAATTCATATACATGGTAATAAAATCCAAATGGTCTAGAAAGTTCTGAAATAAAACATAGTTTCTACCCCATCTCCCAACCCTTAATCTTTCTCCCCAAAGGTGACCACTGCTAAGTCTCTTATATATCCTTCCAGAAACTTTTTAAATTCCTGTGTTCTCACACCTCACTGTGGCAAGGCTGCCTTCCCACATCCTATTCCGTAAGCTTCGCTGACCAGGGCAGTGAGTTTCGGGGACAAGGTGCAGGAGCTTGGACCTGCCTCTGCCTGTTGGGCAATCCGGTCATCTGGGACTGTGGCCCCAGCGATTGCCCAGTCGGTTCCCCGTCTTCACTGAGTGAAGCACATCGTGCACCCCGATAGTGGAATTGGAGGAACTCTGGTGTCCAGCGATGACAGGCTACACTACCAGCCATGCAGAGGGTGTCCAGGCTGCAGAGTCTGCCCGGTCTTGGCCATTCGGGGCCAGTGGTATCTCATTGCTAGTCTGACTTCTACTAGTTTGGCTGGAGCTTCTTGCCCCTGATGCAATGAGTGGCAATCTTTGCCTGTTCATGTGGAAGAACTTTCAGAAGACCTTTTTATTCTTTGAAAGTGCCACCCTCCCCCTGCACCCATAGCACATGGCCCTGATGCAGAATGAGTTAGGTAAACGGAAGGATTTGGGGAAGGCGGAGCAAACCTGTTCCCGAATCTTTCTGGGCCCCTTCTCTGTGGATGGAGTTCCAACCATTTGTATGGACAGTGGAAGCTGGAAGTCTTGATGTTCTCTGAAACTTCCCGGTTTCCGACGTGTTCTGCAGACGAAGTTAGCTCAGTACAGTGAGGTCGGACACCACGTGGACGTGACCTCTACTGAGGGGACTTGGAGTTGTCTGTTCACCCAGGTGGGGTTTCTGCCTCACCCGCGACATCCGTGGGGAGCAGGATGGATCCCACGGGAGCCCCATTTGCCTTCTTGTCCCTTCCTACCTGCTTCTTCCATTTGCCTGCACAACCTGGGTGTGGGGCGCTGAGCTCCAAAATTAATGCCCCCCTCTTGCCAAAGGACTGCTCAGAAGTGTACCCATGTACATTTTTAAAAACAATAGAAATTCCTTATTAGAAATGGCCTACTTCTTGATTTTAATACTGAAAAAAATTCCCTATTCCTAAATTGATCTCCCTGCAATCTATTCTTGGACATCTTCTTGAGTTTCCAACCTGCGTTAAGGGCAGCCTGGGTTTGCAAAGGAAGGGAATCGAGGCTTTCCAAATGGGGAGCTTCCCTGTGAGAAGGGTCCAGGACTCACCTTGTGGAAGTTCATCCCGACTGAATGTGTTCATCTGGACTCAGTCTTTGCCAGCTCCATTTAAAAGGTGTTTTGTAAGTGCAGCTGGGGACTGCTGTCCACCTGTGCAGTTGTACAGGGGACAGAAGCCAAGGTGGGCAGGTGGGCTGCTTGGATGGGTCGCATTTAACCTCATATCCCAACACTCTTGGGCCGAATCTTGTTCACAGTGTTCAAGCAGCCCACGATCAGACCAAGAGTGGGTAGTGATCCTCACAAGTAGCTTTCCAGTGAGCTGTATGAGTTTTTCTTTATAGAAACCAGCCAAGGGAAGATGCTGTATTTATGAAATAATCATTTTATCAGATGCAGACTGAAATGGATCAGGATAAACGAGAAAATGACATATTGGGAGAGGGGCTCTCCTGTGTGATTATGAATAAAGGTATAGTTTTCTTTCTGTTGACACTTCGACCCATGTGTCCAGCGCATTGGTTTCTGGAACTGCAGTTGACAGGAGGCAGCCTGTTTTCGCTGAATGGCCTGGCATCCATGTGTCTCCAGAAGGACTGGGGAGAAACCAAGTAGCCCCCAATGCCAGCGTCTTGGGTTACCTTGAATAAAGGGACTGGTAGCTACTGGAATGTCTTTCATATCCAAATCCTAGAGCCCTTCCCTCGAGATATTCTGTTTTACATTTCAAAAGACAGAGGAAACATGGACAAGCAGGCTTCCTAAGAGCTATTGTGAAATTTCATAAGCACGTGGCATTGACCCATGATCTATCTGAGCAGGTCTAGGAGGAGATTGATTATTGGGGGAGGGGGGGTGTCTCCAATACAAATACAGGTATAAGTAAAAAGGCAATAATGAACTCAGTGAGGGTTGTCTGCATGTCCTCAGGGACTCTTTGGAGGAATTAGGACAGAAAGAAGACATATTTTGATCAGACATGATATAAACATTTATTTGAAAACCTGACCTTAGGAACATCTAGTTTGGATGAAATCTAGTGCTGCATGGACGGGAGGACAGAGGAATCAGAATCCAGTGGTTTTTATTTCAGTTCATGGCTTTGGCCGGCCCTCACCGCCTTCTTTTCTAAGAATCGATACACTGGCTGGGTTCTCGCAGACTTCCGGCCTTCTCTGGTGGAGCCAGGATTACATCAGGGTCTTTGCATTTTGCATCCAGGTTTCTGCCGAGTCCAGCTCCTCCATGAACTCCAACACCCCGCTGGTGAGGATAACAACACGCCTCTCCTCAACAGCGGACACCCCCATGCTGGCGGGGGTCTCTGAATACGAACTGCCGGAGGACCCAAAATGGGAGTTTCCAAGAGACAAGTGAGTACTTCTACCGGGCATTTCCCAGAAGGGAGACTTAGCTGTACATGGGGTTATCAGATTAACATTTTTTTCTATGACCTTTAATTGCAGAGGTCTTGCTCTGATGATGTCAACATGAGTAAGATTGTGTTTCTAAATAACCAACTCCTGGAAAATAAGAGAATGGACTTTTTTTTTAATAGCTCCTGTAAAGCAGAGCTACTAAGCCCTTTCTGGCCCCCAAACAAGATGGCATTGGTTGCCGTTTTTTAAGTTTCTAGGCAATTCGAACCCAGTCAAATGGACTAAAAATAGAACCCTCCAATTTATAAAACAGATCTGACCTGCTAACTTTTGGTTACTAGAACATGACTGTTCCATGGTTCATTTCTGTGCAGAAATTAGATGCAGAATATAAATTGCCTTAAGGATCTTTACCCAGTGTTGCTGTTTTCTAATGGTTATTAATGTCATGTTGGGCTGAAAATCTTCAAATATGACATCTCATATCTGATTTCTGTGGTCTATAATATTTTAATTATTGGATGACAGAGAGGTGTTATAATCAGATGGTTGGTCAAAGCATGGCCACCTGGGGTTTGTTGATGGCATTGTTGGGAGCTGTGTGTCTCGTGGTCGGGCTTGAAGTCCACATACTCTGGGCTCTGTTGGGCAGGATTTGAGTCCTGGCTGTGCCGGCCAGTGGCTGGGCAACCTTGAGTGAGTCGCCGGATTCTCTGAACTTCACTTGTAAAAAATGAGTGTTGTAATACAGACCTCCCAGGACTGGGCATGATTCTTGGCTCATGCAAATTTCCCTTCCTTTTCCCGTCATATATTGGTAACCTGGGAGCTCTGAACTGCAGACCTCAGCAAGATCCTTGTGCTGGGCACAGAGGCGGTGGTAGCCCTCGTCCTCTAGGCAGGGACCAACCCCCACACCCACCTTCTGAAATGCAGTGTGACGGTCATTGAGGGGCTGTCGGCTCACTTCTGGGGTACTTCTTACAGTAGTTAGAGTCTTAACAGCCTGAAAGTAACGGAAGGTGGAAATTCTGACTATATTTCTGCACCAAATACACTGGAATAAGCTCTTGACTTGCTTATACACAGCTACCCCGTTTGTCTTGACATCTGCAGGAGCTCCCTGGGATTATGTTAGGGAAGTCTTTAATATGCGCTTCTTGTATATACATATGCAAATTTGGAAACACAAAGATAAGCTTTTCCAGAGAGGAGATATGACAAGCTCTATTTGGAAGGGAGAGGTAGCTGTTGTGGCACTTGGGACTTTGAATCACCTGACTTCACATCAGTTTTATTTCCCAACAGCCGATGCAGAGACCCTAATATGTACCGTAAGCTAGAATGGAGTAACTGTATAGACATCAATCAGTCAGAGTGATGATAATTTCCAGCTTATTTGTGTACTATAGTGAAAAGACCATTTGTTCATTCACTCAAGACATGTTTATTGGACACTTACTGGGGAGGCACTAGAGAAAACAAAAAGAATGGTTTCTTCACCTGCAGACTATGGAGAGGGAAAGGGTGTTTCTTGTGAACCCTGCCCGCTCTCGTGTGTGTGTGTGTGTGTGTGTGATTATAGAGGTGGGTTCATGCGCACATTCCTGTGTGTATGTGATTGAATCAGGGAGTTGTGATCATATTTTAAGAAAGTGCAGTTTTAGGCTCCCTTTTTGCCACCTGTGACAGACACCGCAGTCAACAGTGGGAGTCTGTGTGTGCCGACCTCTCAGCTCCCACCCGGGGGTACCCCGAGTGTGGAAAATCTGAGTGCTAAACATTTCGAAACAGCCTTTCACACAAACGTAGGTGGAACAGATTTCCAATGAATGAAGGCTATTTAGAAGCAGTTTATTAGATCGGAGGCAGACGTTATACAAAGAAAGGATTGTTATGCTTGTAGTAGCAGGGCAGTGGGACATAAATTAGCCATTTTTCCAATGCAAATGTTTATTTTCTGCCAAGATGTTAAATTTAATTTTGGTTCTGGATAGAAAGAAACAAAATGACCTCAGCAGAGCATACACGGCACCCCGACTCTATGCTGAGCTTTTGCAAGGTGTTGTGTGCTTACCGTAAATACTGTTTACTAATGGCAGTGCAGGACATTGCTGTATTATGCTGAAGTTAAAAAAAACTACACTTATAAGTATTCCGAAGACTTCTCTATTATGTTGATTTCTGAGTTGTCTAAGGATGAAATTTGGCTATTCATATCATGCATATAGAACTTTTACGCTTAGAAATTTAATCTGTTGTGTTCACTTTGGATTTCCTTCATTGTTAATTGTATGTAGTCATAAGGACTTGTAAACTTAGGTCAAAATAATATTCCCCTAATTTATTTGAATTTTTTTTTTCTTTAGTGAAAAATTAGAGATTCCTTAAAATGCTTTTAAGATTCACATCCTGTAACTTGGCAAGGAATGTGACCATAAAATCCATCGGTATTTGCATAATAGTCATTTTAAAGTCCCCACTTTACTGGGACAAAAAAAAAAAAATAAGAACAGCCTTAACGTTTTTCTTTGAGCCATTCTAAATTACAAATATTTAATTGGCTCAAGATCAAAAGCTCATCGCTGGCACTTAGGAAAGCTGACCACCTCACTAGCAAGGATACCTTCCGTAAAGAAAATAAATCGAGAATACAAATGTGAAATTTAATAGCTGTTCCACTAGTAATTGACATTCTCTAAAACGTCACTAAGAAAATACTCGAGCGTGTGTGTACCCCGAGCCTCATTAGTTCCATATGATAAATACGCAGTGCTTTTGCAAGCCGCTGAAAGATTTTTATATTTGGTTCTGGAATTTCCCTCTCCACACCCCTCACCAGGTGCTTGTGCTAATCCCCTATTTACACGTTTAGGCTGACGCTGGGCAAACCCCTGGGGGAAGGCTGCTTCGGGCAAGTGGTCATGGCAGAAGCCGTGGGGATCGACAAAGATAAGGCCAAGGAGGCGGTCACCGTGGCGGTGAAGATGTTGAAAGGTGAGTGGAGAGGCGGGAGGGGAGAGAGTCTTATCAAGAATGCTCCTTTTGTGGCATGTGAACTCCAGCACCCCAGGGGGTCAGAGAGCACATAGTTGACCTGGAGGTTGAGAAGTGTCCGGTATAAATCAGCATCTTGGACAGACGATTTTTCTTGAGCTTGTGTGTACTTATCAGAAAGAAAAGCCAGTTTTGTTAGAAAGCGGTCTTGCCTCCCGCCCCTTCTAGATGGCCGTGGTTGTTCATTTTCTCTCCATGTTTATGTGCTTAGAAAATATCGACTCCTATGTGATTGGACTTAGATGGGGGTTAGGATGCGGGATGCGGGAGCCAAACCCTAACTTGCAAGTGAAGGGAAATGGGCATTTTTGGAGGCGGCCCGAAGGCTTGGGGAGAAGAACACCTCTTTCGTGTGAGGAGCAGAGTAAACATGACACTGGTCTGGGAGAGCCGCTTGGAAGCTAAGAAGGCACTAACAGGATTGGGTGATTCAGGGTGACACGTGACAGTCACCCTGAGATGGAAACGTGGCATCGCGCTCGTGGGAGCCTGAGCATTTCTGCATTAACCTTCCACCCCTGCTCCATGCCTGTGTCCTAGGAGCTTGAAGACTTTTAACCATTAACTTGTTCCTCCCACAGTATCCTTTTATGAGAAGAGTTATGGGGAACGGTCACATTATAAATCCCACTGCGGGGATCTCAGGCAGGAGACCCCGGGCGGAGCGTTTCCCACGTTCCCAGGCAGGGAGGTCTGACCTTGGGCTGGGGGCACCTGCACGTGGGGGCGCCCCGGGGGCAGCCTTTTTCTCCCCTTCGGGGGTTCTCATGGGATGGTAACACGTCCTTCCCTCTGGGGAAATAGCAGGCTGGAAATAGTAAAAAAGATGTTGATTTTTTTAAAGCTATTGATCTGAATGGCTCCCAAGGAAATCTAGGGTGTTTTGAGATGCTCCCCACCTTGGGGCTTGATGCCAGGGAGGCGAACTGTGTTTTCTCACCTGAGGTGTCGTGGCGTCACCAACGGAGGCAGCCCCTGGCTTTGTGTCTCTTTTGGCAGAACTTCTGGTTCTGTTAACGGGGCTCACAGCGACTTGGGTATGGCAGAAAGCAAGCTCCGGGGGTTCTCTTTCTCCTGTTGTGCCCAGGCTGGCAGCCTTCCTTTTTAGGATGTAGGAGGACGTTAGCCCCCGAGCCCTTGTGGTGTATTCTTTTTCTGTAGCCAGTGGATGGCTAAGAGCCGGGAGAGAGGGGGACATCCCGTGCCGTGTGTCCACAGTGTGGCTTTCTCCCCGCGTGTGGCGGGGGCTTCCTTCCCCATCCACGCCGCGTACACTTTGCACACACAGTCACGTCGCTCCTCCTTTTGTGTGAAGCCAGCAAGCTCTTTGCCACATGGTTCCTGTCCATGGCCCTATTTCATCCTTTTTAAGTAAGCCAAGTTTTTCCCATACTGAATTCACTTGAAGGGGAAGTGTGGGAAAGAGTCTGGTCACTTACTAGGAGTTAACTATGAGTCCGTGTGGGTAGGGTCTGTGCCGTTCCTGCTGGAAATTACAGAGCAGAGGCTTACGAAACTCTTTTTAGGATGGGAGTCGCAGCGCCCTTCGAGAAGCCACTAGAAGTCGTGGCCCCTCACGTGCTAAGAAGGCACATGCATGCACACCGTGGGCACAGTTATGGGGTGCTCCCCGGGTCCATCTGTGAGCACGCTAAGGGTTGCTAGGGGTCGGGTGAGGAATGCTTGGTCTGGAGAAAGTCTGTGGTGATTTGAAATGTCCCCATCCTTGTTCTCTCTCGCTGTCCTCAGAGTTGCTTTCCGGCACTGTGGAGTTTGATAGGGTTTTCTTTTTTCTTTTCTTTCTTTTTTTTTTTTGAGACAGGGTCTCACTCTGTTGCCCAGGCTAGAGTGAGTGCCGTGGTGTCAGCCTGGCTCACAGCAACCTCAATCTCCTGGGCTCAAGCGATCCTCCTGCCTCAGCCTCCCGAGTAGCTGGGACTACAGGCATGCGCCACCATGCCCAGCTAATTTTTTCTATATATATTAGTTGGCCAATTAATTTCTTTCTATTTATAGTAGAGATGGGGTCTCGCTCTTGCTCAGGCTGGTTTTGAACTCCTGACCTCGAGCAATCCACCCACCTCGGCCTCCCAGAGTGCTAGGATTATAGGCATGAGCCACCACGCCCGGCCTGATAGGGTTTTCTGAGACACCTTAGCTATAGCAGAGGATGGGATTAGTTCACGACCGAGGAAAACATCCCCACATTTGTGACGTTTGCTGGAAAAGAATTGGCCTTCCCATCACAGGGCTGGGTTCTAGACCTCTCTGGGCCTTTTGTCCCTTCACTGATAAAATGAGAGAGATGACTTGGAAAGTCTTTTCTGGCTCTAAGATTCAATTTCATGCTGTTTTAACTAAGTTTTGGGCAACTAACAGGGGAGCCGGTGAGCTCAAGGGTGCGAACTGATTTGCGATGTACCTAATGTTCGTAGATGATGCTACGGAGAAAGACCTTTCTGATCTGGTGTCAGAGATGGAGATGATGAAGATGATTGGAAAACACAAAAATATCATAAATCTTCTTGGAGCCTGTACTCAAGATGGTGAGTAGGAAGAAAAAAATGCTTTTATCCAAATACTCCACCGTTTAACGTTAGAACCATTTTGGAAACAGTCAAGCTTTTAGATCCTGCTCCCAGAGCCCCTCGAGTGCATGTTTAAAGATCTCTTTAAAATGCCCTTAGGAAGATGTTCCAGGCCGGGAACACAAAGGGGACTCTGTGCCTGTACCTGGGGGACTGGGGAAAGGTGGGTGGCGGGCGACTTCTGATTTGAGGGCCTAGAGGGTCCTGTTATTTCTAGATCGTAACCAGGAGGGCGTTTTAGGAAAGTCAGTCTCCTTGTGTTTTTATTTCGTAAGTGCTAAGAGAAATTTCTCAAAATAAGATTCTGCGTTTTGGTTGAGAAGTTCTTCCCTTAAAACGGGATTGAGGAACCCACGTCTTGCTTGGACAACAACAGATGGCTGAGCTCCAGGAATAGCTTAAAAGTGGGGAGAGTGGTAGGAAGGGACACTTTCTCTTCCTTAGGGGGGTGAGGCTGCAGCTTATTCCACTGGCTGTTTACTGACACTTCAGGAACCAATTTGACGGTTATTAATAAACTTGAAAATGCCTATCTTTGACTTTGCAGTTTCTCTTTTAGATCTATTCAGGAATCTGCAAACTTTTTTCTGTAAAGGGTGACTGTAGATATTTTAGACTTTTGTAGTCTTTACGGTTTTTTTGTCACAATGACTCTTTTCTGCCATACCAGTGAGAAAGCAGCCCTAGAAGTACAGAAATGAATGGGCCTGGCGGTGTGCCAATAAAATTTAATTACCCAAACAGGCAGTAGGCAGGATTTGGCCTGCAGGCTGTGGTTTGCCAACTCTGGTCTATACCATGCAGAAATTATCGCACATGTGTGCAAGGGAACATGTACAGGAATGTTTGCTACCTACTGTTTGTTATGGCCAAAACCTAGAAGCAAATGCCCATGAGTAAAGGGGAATGGATGAATAAAGTAGGGTGTACTTATAGGATACAATGTGTGTAGCTGTGAAAAGGAATGATCTAGACTTACTTTTATCAGCCTCGCTGGGTTCCAAAAGGGCAATGTATGGGGAGAAAATGGTGTAAAACTCTACCTTTATTGTTCATTTATGTCATTCAAAATAATATTTATTGATACACATACGTATGTAAGATTAGTTAAACTAGAAGGATATACTGGAGGGAGCAAATATTCAATAGCCGCTGCTTCCCAAGAGGGTCAGGAAGAACACTTCAACTGTGTTTTTGTGTATTTCTTAAAGCCTTTGAGGCTGTCATGACCAAGAGTTATTCATCATTTTGGGTAGATTAGGGTGCAGGTTACTCTGTTTGCATGTGTGCTTTTCTGTACATTAAAACTTCTGAAAAGCAACAACAATGAAAAGCATTGGGGTCCTGATAACTAAAAATCCCTCTCCGAGTTGCTGAGGGGCAGATCCTGGATTCTGTCTTAAGGGATTCTCTGCTCCCTCCGCAGGACCACTCTACGTCATAGTGGAGTACGCCTCGAAAGGCAACCTCCGAGAATACCTGCGAGCCCGGAGGCCACCCGGAATGGAGTACTCCTATGACATTAACCGTGTGCCCGAGGAGCAGATGACCTTCAAGGACTTGGTGTCCTGCACCTACCAGCTCGCGAGGGGCATGGAGTACTTGGCTTCCCAAAAAGTGAGTCCTCCACATTCGACTTGGTTGGATAGAATCCAGTTAGAAATGTCTTTGAAGGAAACAGGCAGTTTGGAAATGTGCTCATGTGCTAGATCAAGCCCTTGCTTGTCTTGTGTGACCTGGAAAATATTTGCTGCGTTATTCACGTTCGGGTTTAACGAACTCTGTGAAGCCAGGGAAGCCTCGTAAACCTGTAATGACACTGCAGAGATGTGCAGAAAAGGTGTCTTTCCTTTGAGACAGGGCGAGGTTTGACTCTCGGGGGGGAATTCAGCTCTCCAGGTGGGGGATGGCTTGTTTGGAGGGTGTTTTTTGGGGGAGGGGGCTTCATTTGTTTTGTGGTTATTCAGTTTCTAGACATAGACTTTAGGTGTTTAGGGTTTTGAGTTTGATATGACATTAACTAGTCCAAGAATAAAGATCAAACAAAGGTGTATTTGAGCAACATTGAGTCCTGGATGTCTGAGTTTATTTTGATTCATTTGGCAGGTGACCCTCTGTGGTTAGAAGTTGGCCAGGTCCCCTGAGGTGAATTGCCTACATTCCAAGCATGCCACTCACGATGGAACTTTAAACATTTCAGTTATTCTGAAAGGGGTTAGACAGGTGCCCAGATGTCCTGGGGGACATTTCAGATGACCCAGGAGACCCTTCCCTAGCCCCACAGTCCGGGAGGAGAGCTCCGGGACTGCCTGTGGTGGAGCTTGTTCCGGCATCAGGAAGCCCTCGGGCGCCCACACAGGTGGGGTCCTTTGGTAGATATGGACCCTCTGTCACCTGGGGGCCTGGGCTACTTTGAAGGGTCACAAGCTCAGGTCTCCACAGTGAGGCCATGCCAGTTGCATGGGTGAGCAAGGCGGCCCATCAGATCACTGGGAGATCCCAGGGGCCGCTGCACCTCAGTCCCGCTGTCTGGTCATGTAGGAACATGGCCCAGAGCTACCACATGTTCTAGGTTGTTTGTTTATTTCTTTTTTTAATTTTTAAAAATTTTTATTTTTAAGAGAGTCCCAAGACTCTCTTAAGACTTTTTAGAATTTTAAGACTTAAAAATTTTTTTCCCTGTAAAAGTTCCCAGTGTTGTATAGGTTTTAGGAAAGTGGTTAAAGCACAGCGTTGGGTTCTGCGATGGTGTGCGTGCACAGACGGGCAGGGCAGATTGCCAGTCCAAAGTCTTTGGCATCCAGAAACAACCAGGCAGCCCCAGAATGTGGGGCGTTTGACAAGATGAAGCCCCAGAGTGTCGGCATTGTGAAAGTCTAAAACGGCCGGGGAGACAGGTCTGGATGAAAGGGGGCTGACCACACAACTGCTAAATGCAACGGTGTGGCCCTGGCTACGATCCTGTGTGTGTGTGTGTGGGGGGGGGTCAGCTCTTACAAAAGGACATTTGTGAACACTTGGAATCTAAATACGGCTGTATAGTATCCCCGATGGTATTACGGCATCAGTGTTGATGTGGGGCAGATGGGAGTGGTATCGTGTTAAGGTAGGAGAGAAATGCTAAAGAATTGGGGTGTGAGGCAGCAGTGATACCTGCAACTCACTTTTAAATGGTTTAGCCATAAAAAATGTTTATGGGGTGTGTGTGTGTGTGTGTGTGTGTGTGTGTGTGTGTGTGTGTGGTGTGTGGAGAGACAGAGAGAGAGAAAGCGTACACAACAAGTCTGGCCAAGGTGACCATCCATTATACTATCCCACCTCTTCTGTAGCTGTGCCATATTCCCGGAGAGGACTGGGGCGGGCAGCCTGTCCGCAGCCGCACTCGTGGACCCTCTGGTCCTGGTCACTCCGTGCGGTGGGGGAAGTCGTCCTGCACCCAGCAGGGCACCACTACTGATGGCCACGGGCTAGGAGTGCTGGCCTGGTCATTTCACGCAGTTCTTCAACACACATTCCCAGGGCAATGGGTCCCTCAGGCTGTTGGTCCGGGTGTCTGGTGAGGAGACTGGAGTGGACAGTCCTTGACCTCTTGGGACAGAGACAGTAGGTGGGTGGGTGACAGAAGGAGAGATTGACAGTGAACGTGAGGATGAAAATAAGTATGTAAAAGAAAAATTGAGAAACGTGCTGTGGAGGAGACAAACAGTGGGACGAGGCCCTGCTCACCTGGGGCCTTGAAGACCCAGGCGAGGACCCTGGACTTTCACTGCTGGGGGGAATGATGGGGCCGAGTTCCTGCAAAGGTGACTGTGGTTGGGGCTGGGCTGTGGGTATATGGGGCCAAAGACACCGAGAGAAGCCAGTAGGTTGGTGTTTGATGCGTGTTGCCATCGGGATAGTTAATGGATCCATGAGGGATGAGGGAGAGAAAGCGAGATCAAGCGTGACGTCCAGATTTCTAGCTCCAGGAATTGGATGGTGGCACAGCTTCCCAGGATAAAGGAGGATTTGGAATGGGGGCGGGGCATGGGGCATAGATGGTGGAAAATCCAGAGCTCGTTTCGAACATATCTGGGAGTCACTCAAGGGAACATGTCAAGCAAGAAGCTGCAGGCCGCAGCTCAGCTCCCGGGGCCGGGCTGAACATCTGGGAGCCGGCACAGGTGGTGTCATTTTAAGCCATGGGAATGAACAAATCACCTGGGGAGCAGCTTAGAAGGGGACAAAATAGAAGCCCGAAGTCAAACCCTAGGAAAACTCAGATGCAGAGATTGGCTAGTGTGTGTGCAGGAAAGAAATAGCAGTGGAGGCTGAGCAGGGGCAGTCTGAGAGGGGAGAAAGCCGGGACGAGGCTCCCAGGGAGGAGGGAGCGGCAGGTGCCCTCATTCTGCTCAGAACAAGGAAGGAAGTTGTTGGGTCCAGCCCTAGAGCCAGTGGTGGCCCGCCAGCCCCGAGGACTCTGCGATCCTGCCTGTTCTGGAGCTGCTCAGTGTGGCAGAGAGAGAAGTAAGAGTCAGACAAACTTTTTGAAATGGGGCAAATGAGTGTATTAATATTTTAGAATGGAAGAATGGAAGTGCCCTTACTAGTAGTGGTATGATAGTGGTAATTATTGTTATCATTAGGTACTAACTACTTTTGGAGAGCCTGACGTCTGCCAGGCAAGGAGGCGGGCACTTGACATATAGTACCTTACGTACCCTCAGAACAACTCTGAAATTGGTGGCATTAGGGTCCCCATAGTATGGGTAAAGATGCTGAGGACTTTCAGGAAGTGACAGCAACCTTTGAGCCCAGATGTGCCGAAATCACTGTTTTCGCTGCTGAGATGGGGACATGGGGGTCCACAAGGTGAAGTGGCTGGTCCCAGACCTAGGCCTCCCGGTCCTCCACCCGCTGTCCCCTGCTCGCAGGTGACCCCTGCCTCTCTCTGGACCAAGGCAGGACCATGAGATTCCCCGTGCTGGAGGCTTTGTGCAGTAGCCCAGCATGAGCTCGTCACCTCCACTTGGCATAAGAGCCCAAGTTGAGAGGGATATCACATGGCTTTGGGGCAGTGACTGGTTCCAAAGCCCCTTGCTAGATGCCACCTGCAATTAAGGACCTAGAGTAGGTTTTAAACTAGTGGTACATGAAGATTTTAAGAATGGTCCCCTTGGGAGGAGCCTGCTTCCAAAACTGGAGGGTTTATTCTTCAAGGAGGAGAACGAAGACCAAGGGAAAAGGTCAGATCCTGGCCTTACCAGGTATGAGCCATACCCATCCTCTCACAACAGGGAGTTATGGGCTTGTTAGAGGCTGGCTTCCTGGAAGGAGAGGGCAGACAACTATTAAGTTCACTGTCACCGAGGTTGTGTAACTATGAAGTCAGCTCAATGGGCATGGACTGCAGCAGACTCTCTGCTCAGCACCAGGCATGGTGAAATGAACATGCCGTGTCTGAACTCAGGCAGCTTTTGGTGGTGTGTGAGTTTGTGTGGGGCGGGGGAAGGGGGTGTAGACAGATAAGTAAAGAAATACTGCGGTATATACAGTAACACAATTAGGTAATGGGGTATTTGAGCCTTACACAATTTATAAAATCGCCAAAGCACATTAATTTTTCTTTTTTAACCAAATCCCAAACCCAATTAAACCTCCAAAGTGTTAAACCTGAGCAAAATTTTTTAAAAGGAAGCCTCAGCTTCTCCATTTGTAAAATGGGTCTAATAATCCCCAACTCATAGGTTGCCATGGGGATGCAATGTGATCTGCCATCCAGGGCACCCAGCACACTGTCTGTGTCACAGGGTGTTAGTCTTCACTCAGCAGCCAGCCATTGACCTTCACGGATAGAAAAATGGAATCCCAAACTGTCCCGGGCCCCGATTACACGACAGGGTCAGCTCTCTGTGCTGGAGAACAACTCGGGTTTCTGTGGATGACGGGATTTGGCTTGCCTTTGCCTACTTTCTTTTTCTTGGTTATTGGTTCCAAGTCTCCTCTCGTTCAACCCAGGGGCTGGGCTTTGGTGTTTCCTAGCGTCCTGGGATGAGGGATCGTGCGAGATTCTTCTCTTGCTGAGAAGGTGGTGGCGGTGGCCGTGGGCGGCGTCTCGGTCCGAGCTGGGCCCGGTGCGTGGTCAGAGCGAGGTGCGTGGGAAGCGCCTTCTGCTGACCACACAGCCTGCCAGACGCACGGGGCTCGTGCCGGCGGGAACACGCCACCGGGACAGTTTGGCCCGGGGCTTGGAAGTTCAATTTGAGGGGCCCTCCCAAACTGGGAACGGGGCTCTCGCCCCAGCTGAGCCTCCCGGCGGCGTCTGGGAGCTCTCACGTTTCCTGCTTCCAGTCTGGCCAGAGCAGGTGTGCTGGCGAGGCTTTCCTGCTGCCCGTTTCTGCTCTCAGCCCCGGTGGCGGGCACGGAAGCCTGTGGACTCAAGGATCAGCTGGGGCTGGGGCAGAATAAAGTAACTCCTTATTTATATTTCAGGGATTGCTCACCTTCCTTCTTTTTAAATTGGCCATTTCTTGGAGTGTCTGAGACCAGCCCCATTTCAGCCTTGTCGAGTGGATTGATGAGACTCTTTGCTTCCTATGCTAGCCAGCCTTTGCCAGTGGCCTGTGTAAACGCTTTCGATGGGGGTATCTGCTTACTTCTGTACACCTTACTGCTTCCCAAAATAGGGGGTGATGACTTAGGACCCCAGTTACCACGTGCCATGATGAAATCTCCGTATATTAACGCGTAACTAAAACACAGCCGCGTACGAAAGCATATCATTTGTAGAAAGGAAAAACGAAAGTCCTAATACCAAACCTTTTTGAGACCAAAGAGTGTCAGGGTGATAAGTTAGTTGCTCTGTAGCTAGCATTCTAGCATTTAGTCCTGATGTACGGGACAAACACAGGCTGAGCCCTCTGTGCGGGGCAGGTGTGGTGACAGCGTGGACTGAGAGTACGGATAGATGGGCATTGGTCATGGGAGGCCCAGGAAGGGGCAGGATCGGTTATTTCAGAAACACAAGCGTGGGAAGCGCAGAAGGTGCCATAGGGTTTGGAAGCACGGAGACCCGCTAGCAGGCAGTGTGGCAGGCCATGGGGCAGCGGTGGGCACTGATGACCGCCTGGACTGAGGGATTAGCGGTGGGAGAGCAGTAGAGGGGACAAATTGGAAGGCACTTGGAGTTGAAGTGAGCAGGACCCGGGAGGAGAGTGAACAGTGCCGGCGCACGCCTCTCTGATGAAGAGAGACAAGAGGGTGAGAATGAAAGGAGTAGAAACCTGGCATTTGAGGTGTCAAGGGGACATCAATGTGGGAATGTCCCGTAGCAGTTGGTATTGAGAACCGGGGTCTCAGGAGAGAGGTCAGGATGGAGACAGGAATTTGCAGATACATCAATGCGTCTAAGAACTGACACCATCTGAGGATACAGGGAAATTCACACATGTAATGGGGCGGCTGCTCTGTTTGTAGGCTCGGAGGAGGAGGGAGCCCGCCAGGGTCCGAGAGGGCTGGTGGGAGGGGGAGAGGGAGAGAATGAGCTGGGAGGAGGGGATGGGGCAGAACTCAGCACAGGGCCAGTTTTCAAAAATAGGCAAGAAGGAAACATCGAGGGCTGGAAGAGGCCGGGTGGGCCTAGCAGTTGAGAGGTTCCTCGTAAACTTTAGGAGGGGCCGGGATGGCAAACGGGCTCGAATGTCTGAGAAGCGACCGGCAGGTGAAGAAGATGGGATGTTGGAATTTAACCAACTCTTCTGGCGATTTGGCTGTAAAGGCCAGGAGAGTGCGTGTTGAGATAAAAGATTTTAGGATGATCTAATTCGCATCCGTATGTGCCTGAAAGGAGTCCACTAGGATGGTCGGGCAACTGCAGAAGACGGAGTGGGGTTATTTAGTCTACCTTTGCTCTTCACAGTGATTGGTGTATTCATTTATTCACTCATTTTTTTTTATTAGAAAACAAATAACAAGTGTGGTGATCTAGGCTCCTGGGTGCTCCCAGTTGACCAGCTTAATCTTTCGGCCACGCTATGTCTCTCACGCTACAACCAGTTTTTGACATAAGCTGTATTTGCTGTCTGCATTTTAAGAAATGAATATATTTTCTTTTTGTCCTGGAAGGGCTTTAAACTTAGGTCTTTCTCGGCCTTGTTTCTCAATTTCAGTGTATTCACCGAGACCTAGCCGCCAGAAATGTTTTGGTGACAGAAAACAACGTGATGAAAATAGCCGACTTCGGGCTGGCCAGAGACATCAACAACATCGACTATTACAAAAAGACCACGAATGTAAGTCTGGGGCGCGTTGCGGAGGGAGGGGCGGGGTGGGCGCGGAACGTTCCAGGAAGAGAGGCCGGAGATGCGGAGAGGCAGATGGGACTCGTGAGGGCCCCTTCCTGGTTTTTTTTTTTTGCTTTATTCTTCGTATACTCTCAATAAGCAAATTTGGGCTCTATCTAAGATAATTTTAGTAAATGGGAAACACTCTTACATACAGAATAACCAGCAGCCTCTAGGATTTTCTTCCGGCTCTTGTCAAGAACCTTCAAGGCAAAGATGAGAGAGCTTGGAAGTCACTGGGTTAATTTTTGCCTGCAAGTTGGTGAAGGAATGTCTGTGTGCTGCGGAGATGGCCGATAGCGAGACTCCAAGGGGGTGGGTTTTATTAACGTCCCCAGATCTGTGCATCTCACGCATTATGTAGGGTCCTAGATGGAGCTTTTTGCTGTTCTAACAACTGACTGCTTAAAAACCACCTAAATGTCAGCTCTTAAGCAGGGCCCAGACCTGTTGAGCCTGCTGAAAAACCTGTTATTGGTTTTCACCTTTTCTCCTCCATCTGCAGGGACGACTTCCAGTCAAGTGGATGGCCCCAGAAGCCCTTTTTGATAGGGTGTACACGCACCAGAGTGATGTGTAAGTAACTCCGTTTCCTCTGGCTTCTGCATGGGCTTGAGTTGCAAAAAATATTGTATGTTCTTTGCCCTTCTTCATTCTTCGGTGGCTGCCGCATTTCATACGTGCCTAGGAGGCGCAGGAGCAGGCCTGAGAAAGGACGGATTTTATGGTAGGCTGGTAACCAATGCCCTGTCACTAATCTGCCTGGCTTCAAAGAGCACGGGAGGTGGAACCGCTAACCTCCTCCTGCCAGAGCGGAAGTCCCCCCCGAAAGTATTCACGGATGTGCGGCTACAAAGCTGCTATCTATTTTGCCAAGCTCTTGGCGTGTTCTTCACCTCCTTCAAGAAGTAATCCTGAAACTCTTCCTTCTCAGGGGCGATTTGTCATATGTCCCCCAACCCACGTTTGTCCTTCAAGGGTGAAGCTGAGTGAGGCACAGTCTGCTGGGATGGACTCCACGGGGTCTGCTCACTGTGTTTATCCTTCCAAAAAAAAAAAAAAAAAGCCTGGTCTCGTCTTAGCATCCTTGATAACATTCTAGAAATACGGTAGAGATTATGTAACACTTCTGTTATGATATACTTAAAAACACTATTAGGGTCAGACTGCAGCGAGTTTTTTTAGTTTTGGAAATTCAGTTGAAAGATGTTATCATTGGGAGAAGTGGGGTCAAAGTTGCTATGAGTCTATAATTATTCCAAAGGAAAATGGTTTTTGGAAAAAAATCACTTGAGCTATTTTTTATTTGTGTGAGTAGGAGGATTTCTGCAGTCAGCATTGATTCTCTGCTACCGCAGTTGCTGCCCTCAACCCTGGAGAGGAGACATTGTGACCCCATTTTTGCAGTGAGCAGACTGAGGCCCAGAGGCTCTTTCTGCCTGTGCTGTGCGGCTGCTTCTGCTCTGTAACTTTACTGCTGAAATTCCCCGCCTTGAGTCCAGGAGGGCGAGTTTCCAGAGCGCCCACGACATAGTGGACTCGGGTCCTTTGCTTTGAGCATCCCAGGGATTGAGTCACCTGAACCAGGCCCAGGAAGTCCGGCTGTGGGTCTCTGAAAAGTCAAGTGTAGATCGTGCCCTGGGAGATGTTTTCAGTTTCTGTTGCGGGAAGCTCCTCTGGGGCCAGGGTTCCTCCCCACCGTCCCCAGCCCTGTGCCGACTGCCTTGGCCTCCTAGGGAGCCTCGGGACCCCAGTGCAACAGGGGCTGCCCCGGCCATGCAGGGCAGCTCTCACCTCGCAGTCCGGGCTCGCTAGCCTTGCTCTGCCCACTGCCCGTCCAGGTGGATCACAGCCCTTGGGGCAGGCGCGCAGGGAGCTGCAAGAGTTGGGAAGGAGCATAGAGGGCTTTGAAACTTAGAAATCGACATCCTCGCATCGCTAACACCGCATTTAAGACGAGCAACTTCATTTTAGAGTGATGGCGGTTTGACTTTTTGTCTACAGATGGAAAATTCCATTGGAACATCCCATGTTGTCATTATTTGGGGATGCTCTTTGTGGGGCAGGAAAGGGCATGGTGGGGTGAGCTGCAGGAGGGCTCATTTGTCTTTGAACTTAAGAAGCCAGTGGATGTTTATTTTCTTAACTGGGCATGTTTGGGTTCCTGCGATTCAGATGGGTTAGTGATGTTTGTTTTCTCTCTTCCTTGCAGCTGGTCCTTTGGGGTGTTAATGTGGGAGATCTTCACTTTAGGGGGCTCGCCCTACCCAGGGATTCCCGTGGAGGAACTGTTTAAGCTGCTGAAGGAAGGACACAGGATGGATAAGCCGGCTAACTGCACCAATGAACTGTAAGGACCGTTGTTGGACGCGCCACGCCAGTAACGCCTGCCTGACTTAGCTCCGTTTTCCAAGGCCCCCCAGTTTTCTGCACATGCTCTAAGAAGAATCGCTGAAGCTTTCTGGGCTCAATCCCGGAACTGAGCTACGTAGCTACACTGACAACCGTTACCTGTCCCAAAAGAAAGAACGCCTCTCGGAGGTGTACGGAGCTGGCTTTAAATCAGAGGGGGTCCAGCCGCCCAGCCGAGGGCTCCTGACTCCTGGCAGGGCCAGTCGGAGTGGCCTTCCTGTCACTGTGCTGTGCTTGCTGTGTCCCCACTCAGAGTGGCAGGAAGACACGTGGTCAGGAAACCAGCTAGAAAGCCACAGGGCTGCCCCTGCACAGTATGGGATTCAGGAACGGATGAAACCTGTCCTTACTGGTCGTGTTCTCCCCATCGGGCGAGTGGGGAGAACGGGTGTTTCCAGAGCTTTCTTTGACCATTGCAAATTGCCATTACAGATTGGCGTCTACCACATTTCCTCGGAGTGAATGAACTAGCGTCTGGTTACCTGTATTTCACCCATATTTTAGCACAGAGAATTAAAAGTTTGTCCAGCTGCCCTCCTTAGAGTACCAGATCTGCCTATAAAACCGTGAGCTGGTTTCTAGAAAAACCTACCTCACACTTTTAAGTGGGGTTATGCTGAGTTTGTGACGTGTGCCCCGTGCGGTAGAACGGTGCTTTGAGAGGAGTCTCTCCACACCCCCCCCCAAGATTAACTGAGAACAGCGATTGTCCCAGAGACTGCAGCCCATTGTGTGGTGTTTCACGGGGATTTTACACCCGTAATCCCATGAGTGCTTTTTGGTGTACAGTGGACGTCTGATGAATGGCCACACTTTATAGTATATTATATAAAGGCACTTATTGTGCTCTTGTCATTCCCATTGCTTTCCCTGACACGGAGGGTCTGTCGAAACCCACAATCAAGATAAGGCCTGGGAACGCAGGCCTGAGGGTTCAGCAGGAAGTCAGTGTACAGCCCAGCGGTGACAGATTAATTCATAAAATCCTTACCTTAAAGCCGTGGTTTTCAAACTTTATTTATTTATTTTTTAACTGAAGAACCTTTGTTAACTAGAATTGCTAAGACAAAACCCCAAGTGTCAGGCAGATAGTGCCAGAGCTGCTTCGGTCCAGGCAGGGGTGTTTGGGGAGGGGAGACTGGAGACCAGAGCGTGATACCAGGCCGGGTGTGGTGGCTCACGCCTGTAATCCTGGCTCTTTGGGAGGCCGAGGTGGGAGGATCCCTTGAGGCCAGGAGTTTAAGACCAGCCTGGGCAAGAACAACACCCCATCTCTACTAAAAATAGAAAAATCAGGCAGGCGTGGTGGCACGCGCCTGTAGTCCCAGCTACTCGGGAGGCTGAGTCAGGAGGATCGCTTGAGCCCAGGAGTGTGAGGTTGCTGTGAGCTATGATGACACCACTGCACTCTAGCTGAGGTGACAGAGTGAGACCCTGTCTCAAAAAAAGATGGTGTATCATTGTGTTATGTCATACGGTTACATGGATACCAGTGAAAAACATACAGACACATCTTTATTGGTGACATAGATGACTTCCTGAAACATTTTGGTAAAGTGATGTTTTTGTGACTCAAAGTGCCTTTCAGAGGAGCCAAGCAGGGAATTTTTGGGGAAAGTGTACACCCCCTAATGTAGTTGACTGGAAGGTTCTGATGCATTTTCCTAATTTAGGTCACATCTCCATATTGCCTGTTGAAACTGTCTGTAGCCAGGTACCTCGTACTTAAAAAACTAATCCATTTTCTCCAGGTATATGATGATGAGGGACTGTTGGCATGCAGTGCCCTCCCAGAGACCCACGTTCAAGCAGCTGGTAGAGGACTTAGACCGGATTCTCACTCTCACGACCAATGAGGTAAGACCCTCCTTCCAGAAGCCAGTTGTACAGGGAGACAAGCATAGCTTTTTGCATACAAGAGCCCTGTTGGTTTTTGGCTGGAGTCTGGGGTATAGTTTATCATTTTTCCAAAGGAGGTCAGACACAGTTAAACTATGTGTTCCTCTCAAATCATGATTTTTCTCAGAACTTCATTTTGTGAGTTCTGACTCATGAAACCAAAGACTGAGGACATACCGGCGGCTGCCCTCACTGTAGCTGGTGGTGGTGTGGGTGTGTTAGGAGAGTGGGGAAGGGGAAGAAACGGTAGGTTGCAATGTTTTGGCGTGCGTGGGAAGGAGCTTGGATTTGTGTGCTAGTTCCATCCTGCGGCCTGGTCGTTAGTGGGTGAGCTGATGATATTCCGATTGGATGCAATGAAGCTCTCTAATTCCAGCTTCTATATAACACGACACTGTTCTCTGTGATCCTGTCTGGTAATGGTTTGTGGCTTGTAGTCTCTTTCCATGTATATGTAATAGTTTTCTACAATGAATGACTTATATGATTTTTAAGTGAAAACTTGTACCTTTTGTTAAAATATTTATTTTCTATAAAATATTTATAATCTTGGCCAAAAAAAGAAACCCTGAAATGGGGTCCGAATTCAGCCCCCATGTCAGTAGCTACTTCAGTATGCAGATAGAGTAGCTTTTATGATTATGGAAAGTATATGTACCCCGGCCAGGAAAGGGGAAAAAAACCCATCAAGTCCAGTAAAACCCACGGCAGAAAGAAATTGTTAATGGATGAATTTGGGGATGTTTAATGAGGATGCAGAACGGTGTTCCTTTATACAGGGGGAAAAAAAAAGCCAAAACCACACAATTGTCTCAATAATGAAAAAGGTTAAGGTGTCCCAAATATTTTAGAAGGAAGATAATACGCTTAATTTCTGATTTAAAAAATTATTTTAAAGTGATTTTTTTAAAAAAAAAAATCAAATGTAGTGATATCAAGCCTCAACCCAGCAACTTTATCTTGTGCGTCTCACTGTGGCTTGGGCTGGATCAAGGGAGAGATTGCATTTAAATGAACACAGCTGACCTTCAGAAGTTGAAAGGAAAGGAACAGTTCAAGGGGGGGAAAAATCCTAACTTTCTTCTTCTGCCAAAATTGTTGTTTCCAGTATAAGTTCTTTTAACCCTAGACTTGGAATCCATTGATATCCCTATTTTTTCCTATCAGATCTGAAAGTTTATGGCTTCATTTAGAAACTGGGGAAAGCACTAAAAGTCTGTTTTAATGACCCCACGTCTGTGCTCAATGGGACCTATTTATATATTTACATCTAACGTGGGTCCGTTCATACTCAAATTTGTATCTAGCATCCTAAAATAAAATAGCAGAATGCCATATTGTCTAACGGATATAAAAATCGAAGTTTCTTTCCTTCTGAAAATCATTACCATATGCTCGAGAAAAATGGTTCCATTTAGGACAAAATTTCATTTTTATCATTGTAAGCAAAAAGCGCTCTTTTGATGTGGTGGGCGTGTTTGTTTCCAGTTGTGTGGTTCATGCTGATGTTGTTGGAACTGACACATCCCCCTTCTGCGATGGGGACTCTTTCTCTTGCCAACCCTGGTGATGAATTATAGTGGGGTTTTGTTTTGTGTGTGTGTGTGTCTCTTAAAATGCGTAGTTGCCAACATTCCGTGGGCTCCTTTCTGATAACACTGAGGCCGTTTGTGCTGTGGTCTGCACTTTTTGCCCTCCTCGCTGCAAAACCACACTGCAATGAGTCGTTGGCTGCACGTGTGAGCAGAACCTTCCCAAAGTGCTAGCCTCGCTGAGGCAGTGGAGACCCAGAAGTCCCCCAGTTTAGAAATCTGTTCCTAGCTTCAGAGCACTGGCCAGCCAGTGCTTCCTGTAAAGAGCCAGAGAGTGACTATTTTCGGCTCTGCCATGGTAGCACAAAAGCAACCACAGGCAACGTGTAAATCAACGTGTGTCTGTGTTCTAGTAAAACTTTATGGACCCTGAAATTGGAATTTGATATGAATTTTGTATCGTTTTAATACCGCAAGATATTCTTCCTCTTTTAATTTTTTTCAACCATTGACACGCATTAAAAGCTATGTGCAGCCCGTGGGCCATACAGAAACAGCCTGCGGGCCCTGGCCCTGCCTGACCCGAGTCGGGGCAAGTGTCACCCTGGGGCGATCCGGTGATGCTTTGGGGAGCAGAAAAGACCTTCCGAATTTCAAACCTTCAAAACTCTGAAACTTAACCTCTATTTTCCTAAACTCTCCTTTAATGGCCCATTATGGATTTAACATACATGAGTCCGCCCAAGCCTTTTTTTGAACCTGTTTACATTTTCAACTCAGAGAGCTTCTGAGAGTAATGAGTTACATCTGTTAAATTACCCACCGAATGAAGGCGTATTCCCTTCAATTACCCAGGAAACTGTAATAGTAAAATGTAATTCAGAAAATGAATATTCATGGACTCAACTGCTTAAAGGGGTCCTGGGGACCCACAGCGGTTTTGGGTGCACGAACTTGAAGCGTGGGCTCGGCGAGGAGGTGTACAGGGAGCGGGTCATTTAGGTCCCCGTGAGGGGGCTTGCCCGCCCGGGCCCTGCAGTGCAGCAGGTTGTCTTGTTCTCCGCTTGCCAGTAGTTTATTCTTGACGGATTCTATGAGAAAAGTTGAGGGAAGCCTGGCGTAAATAACTGGGCTGGGGTCTTGGGAGGTCTCTGTGGAAGTCGGGGGGCCGGGTCTCCGTCGGCCTTCCAGGGGTGCCCCGCCCTGCCCCCCCCCACCTCTGATAGCAACATCTCAAGAGCCTGTGTTTGAAATCAAACTCTTCTCTTCCCTTCTTTCAGGAATACTTGGACCTCAGTCAGCCTCTTGAACCGTATTCACCTTGTTACCCTGACACAAGATGAAATAAAACGTCTCTCTTCCCTTCTTTCAGGAATACTTGGACCTCAGTCAGCCTCTCGAACAGTATTCTCCTAGTTCCCCTGACACAAGGAGTTCTTGTTCTTCAGGAGATGACTCTGTTTTCTCTCCAGACCCCACGCCTTACGAACCATGCCTTCCTCAGTATCCACACAGAAACGGCAGTGTTAAGACATGAGTGAGCGTGTCCGCCTGTCCCCAAACGGGGCAGCGCCAGGGACCGGCCTGCGCTGAGCAGGGAGGCCGCGCCTCCCAGAGCTTGTCGTCTCCGCTTGTATATATGGATCAGAGGAGTAAATAATCGGAAGAGTAATCGGCACATGTGTAAAGATGTATACAATTGAAAACTTGCAGTCTGCACCAGGAGAAGAACGCTTCTGGGCGGATGGACCGCCACAGGCCACCACGCTGCCCTCCGGCCCGCCCCGGACACTGGCTGTGGACCAGTCGGACTCAAGGCAGACGCCCCTGCTGCCTTCCTTGTTAATTTTGTAATAATTGGAGAAAATATATGTCAGCACACATTTACGGAGCACAAATGCAGTATATAGGTGCTGGATGTATGTAAATATATTCAAATTTATGTATAAATATATATTATATATTTACAAGGAATTATTTTTTGTATTGATTTTAAATGGATGTCCCAATGCACCTAGAAAATTGGTCTTTCTCTTTTTTTTTTTTTAAATAGCTATTTGCTAAATGCTGTTCTTACACAGAATTTCTTAATTTTCACCGAGCAGAGGTGGAAAAATACTTTTGCTTTCAGGGAAAATGGTATAACATTAATTTATTAATGAATTGGTAATATACAAAACAATTAATCATTTATAGTTTTCTTTTTTTTTGTAATTTAAGTGGCATTTCTATACAGGCAGTGCAGCAGACTAGTTAATCTATTGCTTGGACTTAACTAGGTATCAGATCCTTTGAAAAGAGAAATATTTACAATATATGACTAATTTGGGAAAAATGAAGTTTTGATTTGTTTGTGTTTAAACTCTGCTGTCAGATGATTGTTCTTAACGCCCCCCCACACCCCCTACCTCCCCCAAATCCCCACCAATGCCCATGGTAAAAGGACCCGTTAATAGGAAGGTGTTTCGTTTTGTATGCAGGTCTGTCTTTGGGCCAGTGCGACATTTAACTGGACTTCTCGAGACAAAATGGTACCAGTGTCCTCTTTAAAAGATGCCTTAATCCATTCCTAGAGCACAGGCTGAGATGATAGCGCGTGCACTTCTCCCCCGGGTTGCACATTAATCAGATTAGCCTGTATTCTCTTCAGTGAATTCTGATAATGGATTCCAGATTCTTTGGCATTAGAGAAGCCTTTTAGGATCTTCAAGTCCCATCACAGAAAATGGAAACTCAAAGTTGTTCTGCTGATAGTGTTGGGGGGATGCTTCCATTTTTTTTTTTTAAGGGATTGCTTCCATCTGATTTTGGTAGGACCTCTCCCAAATATCCCTCCTAACACCTACGCCAGAGAGAACATCGCCGTGTCGTCCATTCTGTATTAAAGTATTGTGTTTTGCTTTCGAAACACCCACTCACTTTGCTATAGCCATGCGACATGAATGCAGATGACACTGATTTTACGTGTTACAAAATTGGAGAAAGTATTTAATAAAACTTGTTAATTTTTATACTGACAATAAAAATGTTTCTACGGATATTAATGTTAACAAGACAAAATAAATGTCACGCAGCTTATTTTTTTAATCCTCGTGTCCTACCGGATGGTTTCCTGTGCTCCTAGGTGGTGACTGGGCGTGGTTTGCCAATGAAGGAGAGGCAGATCTGGAAGGGCGGGGCGGCTGCCTGCAGGGGGATTGGCCAAGGCCAGCAGGAGGTGGGGCAGGTTGATCCAATGGAAAATCAGAATCGGTTGGTCCAAGCCAGGTGCCCTCAAACTACAGCACGCAGGCCACATGCCACCCACCTAGGACATATATTTGGCCCGCCAGGTGTTTTTGCCACCACTGCCTGTCCTGCTTAGCAGCCGACTCGTCCTGGGCCCACAGTGTGCACTCTCTAATGGTCTGAGGGACAGTGAACTGGCTCCCTGTTTAAAAAGTTTGAGGACCCCTGGTCCAAGTCCTCCCTTGGTTGCTTACTGGAACCTCAAGGAGTTATTGTTCCTTTCTGAGCCCTCCTGCTCCCCAGAGGATCCACATGGGAGACAGCTTTGCCAGCAGAGAGGTGTCGAATAGGAGAGATGTTCGAACTCTCTGGATTCTGGGGATCATGAAACCTTCCAGGCTGGTTTCCTCATGATGTACGGAGGGAAGGATTGGCTTCAGATTTTCCAAAAGAAAACTTGGACACATTTTAAAATAATATTTCTTTTCATCCCACCGAGCATCTGACCAGGGCAAGGGATATTTGCCTGTCAGTTAACAAATGCGAATCTGACTCTTGAGGCTCCCTGCTGGCCGGTCTCATCAGCACCAGGAAAGGGGAGCAAAACAGGCTGACTTCGGCACCTCAGCCTGCACTTAGAACCTTCCGGGGCTGTAGGCAGTCAAACAGTGCTGTCCTTGGGTCTTTGACGTGCTTGAGGCCATCAGTGGTGGAGTGAGGTCTCCAGCCATCAGCAGAGTGGCCTCCAGTCCTGGTTCTGTGTTTGCCAACCTCCTGTGCTTCTGTTCCTTATTATGAATAGTGGAACAGGGCTCTAATCCCACCAAAAGAATGTTATTAGAAAAATAGGGCACGTGTAGGGAAGCTGCCTAAAAAGTGTCACCTGTTAAGCAGGAGTGTACGCAGGTGTATTGAAAGCAAGGCTCAGGGTCTGGGCTGGTTCTCTGCGCAGACCACAGTGTACATTCCCTACTTCAGAGACTGAAGGGCAGTTTATGGCCTTGACGGTGTAGATTATAATGGGAGTAAGAACTGCTATATCTCTTGCCCATTTCAGGGAGGTGAGTGGGCAAGATTCCTAAACTAGCTGTTGACTATTTTCATTCTTGAATTATCTGGAAGGAGATGTTTGTCATGAAGGGAAACAAGGGAGTATGGTACCTGAAGACAGGAAAGACAGTACCTTCCTTTTTCTGAGACCTGTCCCAAGTGACCATACACAGGCAGGGGTTGGTACGCTTTTGGCCCTCCCCATCCCTACCCCCAAGACCTAAGGAAAGCCTTGGGAGTTAGTTGAACCACATATGAGTGTCATCAGGTCACGAGATTGGTTCATTTGTGAAGAACCACAAGACGATAGACATCTTGGATGGGCAGTGCCTGGGCCCTGCTGTTTCCAACTGGGAAGGGCACATTCAAGAGGCTACCTCGAATAGTCCAGCCGGTGGTGGTGTCTGGCACGATGAGGAGGCAGTAGAAGCAGGGTGGAGGAGCAGCACCTTCAGGGGAGTTCTGTGGCTTCTAGGGGAACAGGGTACCCCCATCCACCACTCAGTCTCTCCATCCCTCCCTGGGCTCCTCAGGGATCTTCTCCGCATCTGATCTTGCGGGAAGTTCCTTAGCCCCACACACAGGAAATTAAATATGCGCTTACAGTAAAATGTAAACTTGAACAGCTGACTTGAACAGCTACGGATTGAGGACCCAGCCACCATTGTGAAAACAAGAAGTTGGTCCACCAGTTTGGACTGTGTCATTAAAGCATTAGAAAGGCCGGGTCCAGAGGGCTCAGTTTGAGGTTCCTGAGGGTCACATGGCTGGGAAATGGTCTAATGAAACAGGGCTGTAGCCTCGTGCAGTACAGGAGAAAGACGGTGGGCTTGGGCAGGATGGGATTGGTTTATTTCTTTACAGCTGGGTGATGTTGAGCAAGTCACAGCTTCTGTCTGGACATGCAAGTTCCCTAGTAAAATAGGCTCTCACCAGCCTCATGTTTACCATGACATTTACCTGTAGGGGCTTGGCTCTGGCAGAAAATAATAAATGTTAGTTATCCTCTTCCTGATAATTTTTTTGGTACATTTAAGTAATGTTTTCAGTATTTTATAGTTTTGTGCAACCATCACCACTGATTCCAGAACACTTACTCCAGAAAGAAACCCTTTTCCTGCTGGCAGTCACTCCCTAGTCCCCTTCTCCCAGCCCCTGGCATCCACCAGTCTGCTCTTTGTCTATGGGTTTATCTGTTCTGGACATTTTATATAAATGGAATCAAACAATATGTGGCCTTTTGTGCCCATCTTCTTTCACTTAATATAATGTTTGCAAGGTTCATCTATATTGTAGCCTGTAACAGTACCTCATTCCTCTGTATTGCCAAATCCCATTTCATCATGTGGATCTATATACTGCATTTTGTTTATTCATTCACCCATTGATGGGCATTGGGGTAGATTTTACTTTTTGGCTATCATGAATAGTGCTATTATGAACATTCATGTACTGTATAAATTTTTTTGTGGTCATATGTTTTCATTTCTCTTGGGTATATACCTAGGAGTGTAATTGTGGGGTCATATGGTAACTCTGGTCAACCGGACTGCTTTCCCCAAAGTTGTTGCACTCTGTTAAATTCCCACTAGCAGTGCATGAGGGTTCCAGTTCCTCCACATCCTTGCCAGCTCTCATTATTGTTCACGTTTTTTTTATTATAGCCATCCTAGTGGTTGTGAAGTGTCTTCCTAAGAATTTGATAGCTGAGGAGATACCACTCAGATCATGGGTTAAAGATACATTGTACCTAACTTGGTTTTCCAGAAAAAGATAACTTCAGCTAATCAGCCTAACTTCTGCACTTACGAAATGGCCCAAGATCACTAAGACACCTCAGTGGATCTTCATGGAACAGAGAAGCTAGGAAACTGATTAATTCCATCTCTTTTCTCTTGGCTGAGAGAGGAAGGAAGCACTGCCCCGTCGTGCAAAGAGATGGATTCTTTCTGGCTGCAATTCTCGAGTGCATCTCTACCTCACCTCCCTGGTTTTATACCAAATAAAGTCTAGCAAGCTGGGCCCTCCACTGGGACTGATGAATGCACCATTACTTATGTATGCACATTGGAGTCCTCTTTGTCTGCCTGCGTTTTGGTGTTATTTATTTTTGATGTGTTTAAAGATGAAAGCAAAGTGTATCTTCTCTCATATTTCATCCCCAGGAAGCCTTGAAAGGACTTGGCAGTCCATCCTGGGCAAGAACAGCAGAGGCCATCCACGTCTGGGGGGACGTTCTGGAATGGGGCCCTTCTCATGCCCCTTTTGCTCAGGGTTTCTGGGGGTTTCCAATGGGTTCCTCCAAATTGCCTTGAAGTCCTGTCTCAGAGGGTCCCTTGAGGTGCTGTAGAAGACAGTGGAAGGCAGGGTGGTCAGCGTCCCTCCCTGGGAAACCATCCTCTCCGAACCTTTGCAATGAAAGGCCACGGTGGATCCCTGCCAACCTGCCAAGGGAAACCCCAGGGCATGAAGCAGTTCGGTGACAAAATTTAGCTAAAGATGCACATGTGGGTAAGTGATTTTTTTTCCTCCCGTGGCTCAGAACACTGTCTCCTTCGGGGCCTTGTCTTTTTAGGCTCCCTTTCCTCTTTTAATTAATTTGTTGAGGGCACTTAACATGCATGCTTTACGAATCAAAATTCATAGCGTGATACATTTGGAAAGGGAGAGAGGACACTGACAGATTTATAAATGAAGGAAAAGTTTTTAGTCTGTAAATGGGCTGACAGATGATGCCTATCTCAAATGATTGTTGAGTTCAGTGAGATTTTAGCTGGGACGTACCAAACCACCGCACCTGCTACATAACACTTGAATATTACCTGCACTCACGCACCCTCTCTCTCAGTAAGATATAGATATAGACAGAGATGTAGATACTGAGACAAAAGATAAAAAATATATATGTGTTTATATATAAAATTGTCATTATTACTGATGAAGTTTATTTGTGAAATTGCTAGTCAGTTGTAGATACGATTAGGGCCATGCATGTCTCCCACAATTTTAACCAAAAACTAGTAAGTTTTAAGTCAATGAAAATAATCAGAATTTTTCAAAATGAGATTGTATATACAACATTCCACCTGTTATGTTCTCCTTTTTAAACAAGCATTCACTTTACAAACACTATTCAGTCAATGAATGTCTAATATAATCTTTAAGGGACAATTCAATGCTTTTAGAACTGCATGGACCAAGCTGGTCAGTGGTTTTCAGTAGCACAGTCCAAAAGGCTGAAGCAGGAGCGAAAGTCCAGGAGGGTTTACTGCAACGGAAGTGCTCTCTGGCTCCCGGTGTGTTGTTGCTACAAGCAAATCAACGTGGGAACCACAATAAAGGGAAACAGCACATGGGAAAGTGGAGGGGCCTGAGCTTCTCCACGTGGTACGACTGTGTGTTGTTCAGGGGCCGCCCCACTGAATCTTCAGGAATTGTGAAATTAGCGCAGGTCAGGTCACCCAATGGGGTAGGAGAGGCTGAAATAAGCTCACTGAGTTGCGTGGAGAGGGTCATCGTATCTCGTTCCTGCAGGTGTGTGCTGCAGGGGCGTAACTGGGAGAAGACAGCAGGCTCAGGGCTGCCCTTTCAAATCCTTCTGCAACTTGACCTGCTGCCTCTTCCGAAAAAACACTATGTGCATCGCTGCACACATGATCACAGCAGGAGAGGAATGGGAAACCTAGCCTCCCTCCTGGCGTGGTCTGGACTCCCCTGAGACTAGCCTCTGGGTTGCCTCTGGCTGCGGATTTAAGTTTCACCCAAATGCAGAAGTTCTTCCTTCGTGGCTGGCCATCGCCCAGTAGCAC